TTTTTAACATTTTATTTACATGCATGTATGTGTACATGTGTGCAAATACCCATGGAGGCAGAAGAGGGCATCCAGTCTCTTGAAGCTATAGTTACTGGCAGGTATGAGCCCATCAGTGTGGAGACTGAGAACTGAAATCAGGTCCTCTCTGTAAGAGCAGCAAACAGGAGCTGGGCAGTGGTGACACACGCCTGTAATCCCAGTGCTCCAGAGGCAGAGGCAGATATCTATGAGTTCAAGTACAGCCTGGTCTACAAAGCAAGTTCCAGGACAACCAAAGCCACAGAGAAACCCTGTCTTGAAAAGCAAAACAAACTGAGCGACCCCTTCAATCCCAGTTAGAATTTTTATCTTTATATACTTTCTGCCCTCTAAACTTTTGTAGAATCCTCTATGAAAGATAATAATATCCTTATGTGAGTAATTAATTACCAGTGCTATAGTACAGTTATATTATTAATTTGTCTTATAACAAGACTTTAAGACTGGTAGGTTTGGGGTTGAGATGTCTGTCTGTTTGTTGTCACTCAAGAGTAAATCAGTTCTATAATCTATGATTTCTGAAACCAGCGATTGTGTTTCATCTATGTCCATATTCCCCATCCCTTAAGCAATGTTACACAGCACTCACTGTTGAATAAAACATTTGAGAAATAAAACTTTCTCTTCCCATTTTTTAAGATAAAGAATAATAGTTTCTCTTTAAAATATGTATGAATCTAAACTTCACTCACTCTCTGGGTAGAGCATCTATATATCTGTTATAGCTCAGGCCTTCACGTGTGCCTTGTGCCACACATGTGTATATGTATGCACACATGCGTGCGTGCACACACACACACACACACACACTACAAAAAAAAAACTTTTAAAGGAGTGTCATAATCTATTGATCATTGCAAAACTTCCTTGCTGGCCAAGACTCCTGCCTGGGCTCTGTTGTGCATTGTAATGACTATGTGTGCTCTCTTTGTTAGTTAAATGCTAGCCTCTGGTCTGTTATTCTAGAACCCCATTACCTCCTTTGATGTTAAGAATCCCAGTTTTATAGCAGCGCCCTCCACTTTTGGCACCGACTAACAAAGGACATTGGTGTCAGGCCCCTTCTCGGTGGTTCTTTATTCCTTACAAGAGGAAGCTCCTTACATTCCACTAAGGTGTAGTCAGGTGGCAGCTTCCCAAGCCTAACACAGAAAATTTATCCCAATATTATCATTTTCCATCTAAAATTCTCACTTTTGATTTCCTCCTCAAAATAGTGTTCCTGATAGTTCCACCTCCTGTCCAATTTCATGGAACCATCAAAGCAAATAATGAAGCTTTGACTTAATGTGCCAGGGTGTGTCCATGAGAGCATATTGACAGAACACCAAATGAACGTTCACCTGTAGATGCCCTAGTCTCAAAGAACCCTGTTCTGTAGAATCTTGTTTAACACACCATCTTCCCACCAAGTTTTCACAATTTTTTTTTTTTTTTGGTTTTATGAGACAGGGTTTCTCTGTATTGTTTTTGAGGCTGTCGGTCCAGCATGGCCTCGAACTCACAGAGATCTGCCTGCCTCTGCCTCCCGAGTGCTGGGATTAAAGGCGTGCGCCACCACCACCGCCTGGCAAGTTTTCGCAACTTTGAGATCTAGCCTCACCTTACCCTGACTCCCACACATTCCCCCACGTCCTGTGAGTTCTACGCAGCCTAGCTTAATTCTTTCTAGAAATAGCAGAAACTGCTTTCTTCTCGGGCTGTGCTGAGCTCCAACACTGGTCATAACCCCAGAGGCAAAGATACTGGAGGCACATCCTGCTGAGGACAAGTTATCTCACACTGGTTTTCCTGTTTCACTCAGTCCTCAGTCAAGGGAAGCTAGCTTTTCTTTGTCAAGATTTAATTGCTTTGGCCAGCCAGGAAAATTCAGGGACAGTCTTGGAATCTTAAGATTCAGAAGCTGTTGCTCCTGATGTTTCTTCTCCAGGTTTTAAAGTCTCACACATTTTCTGTCTGAAAGGGATTAAAAAGAGAGAACTGCTGAAGACTTGCCCTTGATGTCTTGGACAGCTGCTCTGCGTCCTCAACTCAAACTTTTTTTTTTTTTTTTTTTTTTTTTTGGTTTTTCGAGACGGGGTTTCTCTGTATTGTTTTGGAGGCTGTCCTGGAACTCACTCTGTAGACCAGGCTGGCCTCGAACTCACAGAAATCCGCCTGCCTCTGCCTCCCAAGTTCTGGGATTAAAGACGTGCGCCACCAACGCCCGGCTCAACTCAAACTTTTAAGTGTCTAATTTCCCATGGCAAGAAATAAGTCCTCGCTCATGGAAGCTCTTGGGCTGTTATACAATTTTCTTTTTACAGAGTGTTAATATGCTGTTCAAAAGTGTCTGCTCTCTAGTCCTTATCATCATTTCTGTCGCCCCTGTGCCAAGCAAGTCCAGCATTCCCTTCGGAACCAAGCCTCACCTTGCCAATTTTTCATCTTCATCTCAAAGCTGTAGTTATCGAGGTGTAGCCTGGACTTTTTCCATAACCGCAGAAATAGCTCGTGATACCTCAGACAGGTGTGGCTGAGCTGTCAACCCCAAAATCTTACTCTGAGCGTCTGTTCCCATAGACCACTTATGGCATTCACATGTTTTTAGCTTAGGGTACCCCTCTCCAAAATTAGTTTGCATTTGAAAGAAGAAAACATGAAGGGGTAACAAGGGAGGAAAGCAGGGAATAAGTGAAAAACAAGGTAAAATGGCTTGTCACCAAGAAGGCCATCACTTCACCACAGATGAAGTGGGTGGCTTGATCTTCCAAGGTTCCTCTGAGAGTTCACCTAAGGTCTGTCATGCCTCCAAGAGGCTTCTGAGAAAGCCAGAGTCTCTGAAGGCCATTGTGGCTGGTGGCCAGGCCTTCCTTCCTGGGAGCACTGACTTTGGATTTATGGTTGGAAGAGACAATATAGAGGTGCAGGGATCCATGGCCCAGGAATACCTAGTGCCTGGCATTCTGCAGCGAGCACTTATTAAATAGTAAGTATTGCCATTAACAGTAATTCTTGAGTTTTGTGCCATGACTGTTGCATGCATAACATGACTAACTGGAGCACCTATCTTGCTAAGCCCTGGTTATGCACCATTGTACGAAATGACAGTCAGATATACAGCCTATGAGATGTGACTGGTTCGGCAATGCTGTAAGCCATGGTCAGTGTGGGCCAGCCACACAGCAAGTGGTTTCAGCAAATCCACATGACAGTGATTCCCTCCAGGCAGCATACAACTAGGCAGCAGTGAGTGGCTACTTATGAACCTTACATTGTCTATCCATCTTTCAAACTTTTAAATATTTGACTGGTCTCTGAAAGCCACCAAGGAAATAACTTGATATTAGTTCTGTTTTATAAATGGCAGTCCTGTAGCTGAAGGATAGTTCACCCAATCACAGGGTGCATAGATTTGCTTCTGAAACTATGCAGGGAGAAACTCAAATGTCAAATAAAAGAATAATGCTGTTGTCTTTAGGGAATTTGCTACATTTTCCTTTGAGTTTGCTTAGCCATAAGGAAATATCTTTCATTTGATGAATAATTCACATCCAAGTCGTGTTGCCATGGAAAGGGAGCAGCTATCCTTGCCAATTGTTTTTTATGAGGCGCTCAGTTCCACAGACATAATGTTTGCCTCTCTTGAGGGAGCAACAGCTCTTGACAAGAGGAAATACGATGCCAGCAAAAAAAAAAAAAAACCCAGTTCTCTGTGTTAAAAATCACTCAGTTCCCTGCTTCACTTCTTGCTTCAAATACACGGGAAATATTCTTATACTCAAGGGTAGCCTGATGGTGAGTGCAACAGGTGCCAACCTTGAGAAAGGGACAAAGAGAATTTTGAGCCTTGACAAAACTATGTAACTTTTGCTTTTCTAGAAACCGATCAAAATTGTTTGGTCTGGTGAAAATGTAAGCTGTGTGGAAAATGGCTCCCAGCAAATCTCCTAACACTTGCTCTCCTGTTGCTAAAAAAAATGTCTGCATGAGCATCTGCCTGTAGAGATTCAGCTTGACTGTCACCATATTGGCTGGAACTGCCATTTTTTCCTGCCAGATGACCCTGGCACACACTCCAAACTCTGTGAGACACGGTTAAAAAGGCTGAGCATGCTATGCCAGCCACAATGTCAAGACTGTCTTATTTTTTATTTTACAATGTTTTACTTATTACCGTGTCTATGGTGTATGTAAGAGAGAGCACACACATGCCACAGAATGAGTGCAGAGGCCAGGGGACAGTTTTTTGGAGCTAGCTCTCTCCTTTCAGCTTTGCATGGGTTGCAGAAATTGAACTCTGGCCATCAGGCCTTTGAGGTAAGCGCTTTTACCCACTGAGCCATGTTGCTGGACCCTAGACTGTTTCTTGACTGACACTGGACACATGAATAGTTTCTGAGAAAGGATAGTCACATTCTGAATGGTTGTTGTATACCTTTGTCTCACTTAAACCCTTCCTCTCATTTGGGGGTGTATAAACTCTCATGTCTCACCATCAGTCAGTACATGTGTCTACTCATAGGTATCTCTAATAAAGTGTACTTTGTGTAGTCCTGGACATATCTGTTTCTTTCTCAAATATTTCCTCACCTTCACCTTTGGTGGCAAAGCTCTCATCTACTGGGACAGGTTGTTCCAAACAACTACTATTTGCACTAGGATCCATTTGATGACCTGGTTCCCCCCCATCACCTTCATTATGTAAGAGTGTATATGGCTCCGTCAATCCTGAACTTTAGATTTGTACCTTAACTGTAGCATGGGGCTTCCTGTCTGTACCCCTCAGCAAACTCTAGCCCAACAAAACCCATCCTTTATTCCTGCCCTTCTGAGTCTAATTAGGAGAGGAGTTGGACATATGTAGGCCATAGTGTCAGGTACCTCTGGAAAGGAATAGAATACACTTATGGTAGATGTATGCAAAAAGTATTCACCTTAATCTACCTGACCTATTAGAAAAAATACATTAGACCAAGTGGCTTTTAAACAATAGAAATTTATTCCTCACATTCAAGCCTGGATGCTCAGACAGACAGACAGACAGACAGACAGACACACACACACACACACACAAATTAATTTTTAAAGCTACTTTTAAGTGCTTGCTGTGCAAACATGAGGACTGGAACCCCTGAATTCAATCCCTAGAACCCTAAACAGAAGCATCACAAAGGACTGGCTAGCGTATGTCCTTGGTACCTTCTAAACAGAAGCATCACAAAGGACTGGCTAGCGTATGTCCTTGGTACCTTCTAAACAGAAGCATCACAAAGGACTGGCTAGCGTATGTCCTTGGTACCTTCTAAACAGAAGCATCACAAAGGACTGGCTGGCGTATGTCCTTGGTACCTTCTAAACAGAAGCATCACAAAGGACTGGCTGGCGTATGTCCTTGGTACCTTCTAAACAGAAGCATCACAAAGGACTGGCTGGCGTATGTCCTTGGTACCTTCTAAACAGAAGCATCACAAAGGACTGGCTGGCGTATGTCCTTGGTACCTTCTAAACAGAAGCATCACAAAGGACTGGCTGGCGTATGTCCTTGGTACCTTCTAAACAGAAGCATCACAAAGGACTGGCTGGCGTATGTCCTTGGTACCTTCTAAACAGAAGCATCACAAAGGACTGGCTGGCGTATGTCCTTGGTACCTTCTAGCTATGCGTTGTTGAATCACTGCTGCTTATGGCACTGCCTCTGCCACTTGCCTACACTAGACAGCTCCAGGATTCTGCAGCAGAGCACGGGCACCAGACCATAGTTAGTTAGTACAGAAGACTCTCTTTTGTGTTTGGTTTGGTTTTCCCTTCTGGTTATTTGAGACAAGGTCTCCCTATGTATCCCTGACTGTTCTGAAACTCGCCATGTAGACCAATGTGACCTTGAACTCACAGAGACCCAAGGCATATGTCACCACACTTGGCCCCTTACTGAGGAGTTGACACCAAGAGCAGAGAGGCTGCTGTGACTGTTAAGTAGTCGTGGTTGTACGTGCCCCTTAACCATTCCTGCTCTGAGAAGTTCTTGCAGGATCTAACTCAGGTCATTGGGCAAACATTTTTACAGGGTGAGCCATCTTGCTGATCCAAAACTATTCGTAACGGATCCTCTGTAAACCTGAGGTACAGATAGCCGGCACTGGAGGAGAATGGCAAACCATGTAAAGGCCTTTCACATGGATATCACTTAGAATTTTACATAGAGAGGGCTGGAGAGACGGCCCAGTGGTTGTGTGCTGTTCCCGCAGAGGACCTGAGTTCATCTCCGAGTATCCACATCGGGTGGCACAGCTACCTGTAACTCCAGCTCCAGGTGGACCCACACCTCTGGCCACCTAAGGCACCTACACTCATGCACACATACCCCCCACACACATAATTTAGAAAATGAAATAAGTCATTTTTTAAAAAAGCATTTTATGTACAGGGAACGTGTTTTGTTACTGTGTGAGGATGGTAAGGAATTTTCAAGTTTACAAATATTTGGCAACAGAAAAAATGTTAATTTTAAATATTCATATGCCTTTCACATAGAACTTCAGAAACACAGTTCGTCACCTCCATCTCTTCCCAAGGACACATTGTATACTACATCACTTTTATGAAACACTTTTGAGTTTTGAAACAGTATCTCACTCTGTAACCCAGGCTGAGGCAATCTTCCTTAGCTGTAGGCTTATTGCTGTGATCACAGGGGTCGGCCACCATTCCACATTAAAATCCAAGCATCTCTTTTTTTAATTTACTGATTCTCCAAACTCCGGGCCAGGTCAGGGACTGAATCTGCCTGGATCTTGACCCTTACCACACAGATATTTTCCCCCTTAGCTGCTTCCCAGAAGGGCCCATGAAGTAACTCCTGTCTGGTGTTTGGCACCCCAGTGGAAAGGTGGGAGCTGATTTTTATGCAGGGCTACAATGAGCCCAGAACTTTCACTTGGTGAATTCTAATGTGGTCCTTGAAGAATGTGAAGCTTCGGTGTCTGTTTGGCAACACAAACCCGTTCTATAAGAACTGTCATGGAAATGGCCCTGCCAGTCTCACACACAGACGGTGCTGTTGTAGAGGTCACAGCAGGTAGCAAGACTCAGGGCGCTGAACTCCTTGTCTTCCCAGGAACCCGAGAAAGAAGGCATGTTGGTGCCGTTCAGCCATGTACTGAAACGATAAAGCCAGGGAGATGCGCATGCGTCAGACACGGACAAGGCAGAGCAATGTATCAACAAGTTTTACCAAGTAGCCGAGAACAGAACCCCAAACCTCTGAGTGTGTCTGTTGGCTGCAACCAATGAAATGAGCTCCATTTAAATGCATTTGCTGCTCACAGTTCAGTTAATGCTAGTATGGAACCGTGTCCAGTGTCTGCCCTGTGACCAGCTCCTAACCTCAGTCCAGTTAGAAATAACATTTCCAGACAGCTGGGACAAAACGTATGCCTTATAAACGATCTAGAATTGAATTGAATTTTTAAAAAAGCTGATAACTTAAGACAGCTTTCCTCTTGAGAAAGAGAAACTGCTTACATTTAACTGGTATAAATTAAATAGGCAAAGATATTTTCCTTTTAAGTTTCTTTGACTTTCATTTTATTCAAATTGGAATAGAATTACATCATTTCTCCCTTTCCTCCCTCCAGCCCTTCCCAACTACACTCCCTCATGTCCCTCCCATATTCCCCTCTTCTCTCAAGTTAATACCCCCTTTTTCTTCAATTATTATCACTACATACATATGGGTGTGTATGAATAGGTATACATACATATATGTGTATATGGATGTATATCTATATATTTATATATAGATAGATATATGTCTCCAGCTTTTAGTTTCTTCAACTTGTATGTTTATGTGTGGGTTTATGTGAGAGCAGGTGCCTGCGAAGGACTTAAGCAGGAGCCCTTCTGAGCTGGAGTCAGCTGGTCAGAAGCTACCCAGTGTGCGAGCTGGAAACAGAACTGAGGTCCTCAGCAAGAGCAGCATGCTAACCTGAGTCATTTCCTCCAGCCCCAAAGACATTTCTTTCAGGTTCTAGCTGCTAATGACTCTTAGAATGCAGCTTTAGAAAATCCACTGAGAACATACACACCAGACTAATTTAGACCTATCCGGTTTATAAATTCCTCTTTAACAATACCCAAAACTTTTACTTTATTTCCTGACCTGATATGCAGCTAACATCTGAATGTCCCACAGGGAACAGATCACTTACATATACATCACCTCCTAAGCAGACTCCAGCTCTGGTCTATCCCTGAGTCCCAGACTCCAGCTGATTTGTGAGTGACTTTATATGGTGTTCACACAGGACCCTCCACATTAACAAATCCAGGACTGGAGGAGGCCACGCCTTTCTCCTTTACTCCTATTCCTGTACTGGTCTCATTGCCATGGACACACTGGCTCAGGACAGATAGGAGAGTTCTTTCTCCTCACCCTGGGCCTTGCTCCTAACTAGTTGAGGACCAGTCCTGTTGATTCTGCTTGGTCTAGCATACCTGTACCTTTAAGCATCTTACCATCTCTTGCTCTCCTTGTTATCAAAATGTCCTTATATAAAGTGCTGCTAACCATGCTGAGGTCCAGAACCCTGCAGATCCAAACCTAGCTTCTCTAGACTCACACAGGCCTTTTTGTAATGCCAGCTTTGCTTCCTAAAGCTCTCCCCATCCCTGAAGACCTCAACCAGGGCACAAGTGTCAATTCCTCATAGCTTCCTTTTATGTGTCCCCAAATTAGTTCTTTTACTCAGTGTTAGGTCCTTTTTATATTCTAGAATGTAGTAAATGAGATCACCTTTACACTATCTGAACTAGAGGCTATCTGGTTATCTTGTACATTTAAACTTGTCTTCTCCTGGTCTGTCTGGCTTCCTTTCTTTTGCTTTTTTGTTTTGTTTTGTTTTTTCAAGACAGCCCTGGCTGTTCTGAAATTCCCTTTGTACACCAGGCTGGCCTAGAACTCACAGAAATCCACCTGCATCTGCCTCCTGAATGTTGAGACTAAAGGCGTGCACCACCATGCCTGATGGTCTGCTCCATTCCTATCTGAAAAAAAAAAAAAACCTCCAAGATTTACCAAGTAGAACTACTCTAAAATCACCACCTATAAATTATCTATATTTCAGTCACGATAAATACAGTAACTTCTTAACACAGGGACCACACTTCTTTCCCTTTCCCTACACACCGCCAATAAACAGACCCGTAGAGCTAATGCCGTAGATAATGAGAGAAAAGACTACAGGTGGAGGCCATCACTAACATTCATGTTGTGTCTCATATACTCCATACAGCGTACACAGGACTGGACTCAAGACCTCTCATCTCCAGCATCCAGAAGTTTCCTTCATGGAAGAGAGGAGATAGGAGGAGGGAGCAGGAACTATGGTGTTCACCTACTTGTGGAAAAGCTCTCTGCAGCACACGTAGGTATCATAGGTTCTGTTGGTGAAACTTGTGTTTAGGAATGACACACAGTCAGCTTCAGCTCCCCTGGGAACATAGAGGATTCCTGCACAGAGGAGATGGGCATTATGTGAAGGAGGAAGATTTGGCACATGGTCTCCAAAGTTCTTTATTGTTTGGTTGGGAGTTGATAACACTGTAGATCAGGTGTGCATGGGATGGATAGTCAGTTAAGAGAATTTTCTGAGAGAAATGCTGTGATCTCTGCCAGAGACAGTGATTAGGCACCTACCTGCCATGCAGGCACTGATAAAGGAAACACAAGCACCCGTGAAGAGAGCTCTGACCACAATCTTGCACAAGTCACTCTTCCGCTGGGGCATCATTGACGCTACAGGCAACAAAAGAAAGCAATTGTATGTCTTCCCCATACAGCAAAAGGGGTATCCCTGAATCCCCATTCAGAAGAATGTAGGGGGGAAAACATGACCAACCTTATGACCAACCACCTAAGCTGCTAAGGCTGTCATAAGAGGTGTGTACATACATTAGTCTTGATAAATAACTCATACTTCTCCTGGGTCAAGGATTGTATATCTGACCCTCACCTCAGTGGTTCTGGAATCTTTTCAAGATATATTTGAGTCAAGCAAGGCTCCGAGTTGATCCTAGCAGGTGCATGCCTGTTGTATGCCAGTTGAGATCTAAGCTCTTAAGTCTAGACTGGAATTGGAGGGGCTGTTGCAAGCCAGAGGACTAGAAAGGGCCGTTCCCATCTCACCCTGGCTTCAGAATCACAGCTACCAAGTAGCAGAAGTAGAAAACATGGACAGGTGTTTAACCAAGGGGAAAGATAAACCAAAAGGAAGTTGTTTCCCCCTTCAAACTGTTTAAGCAGCTATCAAGGAAATAAATTTAATAATTCCATCCCAGAATATGATTGCCAGAAATGTCACTTTCACACATTCCTTTCATACTCGGTTTCTCCTAAGACACATTTCTAGCTTGTTTCTTCCAGGTCCTTGGGTTTCTGATGAACTCTGCCCCCCAGGACCACTTCCTCTCTCCTAGCCTCTCTCTAGCAATCAGGGTGACACTGCTTCAAGTACCACGTCCTCTGTACTCCAGGACTCTCAGCTTTTAATCTGACAATGCGTAATACTCACTTGTTCTATTTATTTGCTTTTTTGCCTCCTTTCATTTCTTTCTTTTTTGATCCTTGTACAAATATCACCTTTTTTGGAAAAAACCAAAGTATTGAGTATCTTAATTTCAGAAAGTACCTTTGGCAGTCCAAAGGCAAGATAGAAATATCATTTTAATAACTTCTCTCTTGTTAGGAAAATAAAAATAAACCCTCTTTGTGCCTTGGCAGCAAAGAGAAGACACAAATAGAGCTTTGATTGTAAAGGACTCAACCCATAGTCAGCCTGACTGCATGAGCTCTGAGTTACACGTGGCCTCAGAGGCCCACTTCATATCAGCGTCTCTGCCTAGCCTCTGCTTTGCAGTGAGCAAAGGTTGCGAGCTGTCTGGCGTCCTGGGAACATGGGGGGGGGGGTTAACAACTCACTCAAGCCTCCCAGTGTGATTCCTATGGAACTAAGATTGGCAAATCCACAGAGTGAAAATGTTGCAATAATTTCAGCTTTCACCTAAGGGGAAAAAAAAAACAAGTAGATACATTCAGTTCTGCTGTTCTCACAACCATGGTAGAAGTTCCAGGGCACACCAAGTCTTTCTTACAGCCTTCTACAGAACCATAAAAGATGCTCAGAAAATAACTGGCCCCTGAATTGCAACAGCTGCCGTGATGTGGTAATACCACAAGACTCCTTGCCCAGCACTGTTCTTATTAAAGATAAGAGAAAAGAGACACAAGGAGAAATGTATAGAAGATCAATTCCCAGCTATTTGAATGTGTAAATAAAGAAACTTCTGAACATCCAGAAGGTGTGTTCCTTGGACTGTTCCTTACAGAAGCAACAATTATCTTACAGATCAAAGTTGGGCCAAATTCAGGGGAGAAATAACATACAGCCCTGGAATGGAAACTAAGTACTGACACATAGGGTTCTTCTTGTCTTGTGGTTGGTCTGGGACACTGGGAAGTGTCTGTGAGCCTACAACATCTGTGTCTTCTCTTGGATACACAAGGCCCAAACCTTTCACTCTGTGATGTTTCTGGAATGTCACTTACAGAAATCCACTGTTTTTCGCCATTGATCCACTCTTCTACTCCAGAGAGACGTTTGTTCTTATACTGAGACAGTTGTTCATAGGCCACAAATTCGTTTATAAAGAATTTGACTCCCACTATCTCAGCTACCAGTGGACAGTCTGCCCACTCTACACCCATCATGAAAACCATGGGTCGAAGGACATAGGAGCAGATGACCTGAGTGGAAGAAAAATACCCCAGGGAAAGGAAGAGCAGACAACAGTTAGGTACCAGCAGCCTCCCTGGAGACTTAGCCCTCCTCTCCTTAAACCTCCCTCTTCTGCTCGGGCTTTCTCCTGGCTTAATATGGGTCAGGAAAACATGGCCAACACTTACCTGGAAAGAGAGTCCATGTATATCCACCATTTCCCCCAGCCAGGAAAGGGTAGAATTGACAAAGGCCAACACAGCCAAAAAGGCAATCAGGTTGGCAGCAACGTTAGCAACAAGGGCTATGGCATCTGTGGCTCCATTGCTTGCAGCTTCCAGGATATTCCTCTCGTCCCTGTGGTTATTAGGCATAAAGCATATGCTACCTCAGCTCCTCAGAGAAGAGAAGCTCTATTACCCCTGAAGTGTGAGAGGTGATGGGATCCCTTACTCTGAAGTGATTCAGATGTTATTGCCATGATAGTATGGTGCCAAGGATGTGGGGTAATTGCCTAAGGAGTTAACGCCAGGTGGGAAGGTTAGATCAAAACAAGACAAAAATGACAAGTGGATGCAGAGATAGCAAAAGGAGGCACTTCTTCCTTCGGGGTGACTAGAAGTTTCTACCACCATAGGGCCTCTCTAGGTAGCACACCTTACCATCTCTCAAATTATACGCTTCCGCTGGCTCACCTACGGGGCAGTTTCACTCCCTCCTTGCTCTTGAACTTGGACTCCTCTACTTCTGGATACACCAGTTTGGACAAGGCAAGTGCACAAGGGGCAGCCATCACTGAGGCGGAAATCAAGGATGATGCGTCAATCTGTAAGGTCAGATGGGGGATTAGCACCACTGTGGGGCTCAATGTGGGTGCACCAGGAGAGATTATGCCAACTGTGCCTCACCCCAAAGGATATGAAGGCTCCCAACACAGTGCCCGCAATGGTAGCAAAACCTCCAGTCATCACTGCATGGATTTCAGAGAGGGTCATGTCTGCAAGGTAGGGACGGATGAGCAGAGGTGCCTCTGTCTAAAAACAAAGAAAAACAGTCACATACCAAGAGTCACATACTCCATATCAAAGTGCTTATCCTAGGCAGGGAATGAACCCATCAGATGCATACCCTCTCACCCAGTGCACAAAAAGTCTTGCCCTGAGGCTTCAGACCTCCTAGCCATCTCCTTGCTGACTGTGTTTTCACCTGTTTCCATAGCATGTTATAAAATACTGTAGACAGCTGGTAGTCATTTACTTTGCTTACCTTGTCCAAATCCGTGCACTTACTGGGTGAATTATGTAGTACAGTGCACTTACTGACCACACACTAGATGTCTACAATAACTTATCTAAGCCAATGAAGTAATAAAGAAATAATAATAATAATATCAGGCCACCAAGAAAGCTCAGCCTGAAGACCTGAGTTCAGTATCTAGAACCCACATGGCAGAAGGAGAGAACTGACTTCCACAAGTTGCCCTCTGACCTCCACATGAATGCCACGGCACACAAATGCTTACACACACACACACACACAGAGAGAGAGAGAGAGAGAGAGAGAGAGAGAGAGAGAGAGAGAGAGAGAGAGAGAGAGAGGCAATGAATTTCTAAGAAATGTCTGTAAAATTTTTATTAATTAGGAAGATTCAACTAGGAAATCACCTAGCCTCAAGCTAGGATGCCATTTATTCTTTAATGAATGATAACCAAAGGACCTAGCCACTAAGACCATTAATGCAAAACTGGTTGTAGACCATTGTTGCAAAAGTTGAGGGCTATGGTAGAAGCATCAGAAGTACTCTGAAAACATATCACAAGCAGATAATCAGCCTAAGACTTTAGAAGACAAAGACCTCAATGTTAATTAACTTCTTGCCCCTTTGAAAAATGAGCATTCCTAGTATTGATTTGGTCAGTCAGTAGCAAATATTTAACACTGTAATGGCTAACACTGATTGTCAACAGTTGATAGAAACGCCTAGGAGATAAGACTCTAGGAATGTCTGTGAGGATTATCTTGACTAGGTCAACCTGTGAGAGGCTATTTTAATTACATTAACTGAAGGAGGAAGATGTACTCTAACAGTGGGTAGTACCATTCCCCAAGCTTGGGTTCTGAACTGCATTAAAGAGAAAGCTAGTGGGGCACAAACACTGTTCTCTACTTCCTGACAGGATGTAGCATTATAAGTTCCTGTCACTGAGATCTTCCCAACATGACGACTGTATTCTCAAACTGAGGCAAGAATAAGTCACTTCTCTCCCAATATGCTTTTTTTGGGGGTGCGGGGTATCCTATAGCAGCAACAGGGAAGGACAGCTATTCCACACAAACAGCGCTATTATTCCACACAGACAGACTCACTAAGAGAGTCCTATGGAGAAGAGCCCTGTTAGTCCTGAGCAAGACAAACCATTGCCTCCTCAGAAACCTCGGAATACGGGGATCACACAAGTCACACCAAAATACTAGATGGCAGTTCAAACATCGCTGGTAGCTCCTGAGAGGCATAGGGTTTGGACTGCGGTTTTCACCGATACTCCTGTGTAAGGAGCCGGACCAGTGGCTAAGCACCTTTTAGATAGTGTGTCCAGACTGTGGATTAGACACCAAGGATGAAAGCAATGTTCTCCTTGACCCTCTGAGGTTTCTTTCATAAAGGACCTACTGCTTCCCAATCTTCATTTCTCAGGCTTTTCATAAGAAAAAAACATGCCTAGGGAGGCAGAGGAAGGCATATCTTTGTGAGTTCAAGGCCAGCCTGGTCAACAAAGTGAGTTCCAGGACAGCCAGAGCTGTTACACAGAGAAACCCTGTCTCAAAAAACAAAAATAAAACAAAACAAATAAGCAAAAAGTGCCTTCCGAGCTGCTTAGTGACTTGTGTTTATACTCCCAGTGCCCAGGAGGTGGAGGCAGGGAGATTGGGAGTTCAAGGTCATCCTCATCAGTGAGAATGGGGGCTGGAGAGATGGCTCACAGGTTAAGAGCTGTTCATTCAGAGGTCCTGAGTTCAATTCCCAGCAACCACATGGTGGCTCACAACCATCTGTAATGAGATCTGATACCCTCTTCTGGCCTTCAGGGATACATGCAGACAGAGCAGTGATAACTAAAAAGATACATAAATAAATAAAAAGTTTAAAAATAAAAATAATTAAAAAAGAAATGGGAAATCAATCTTGTAAAAAAATAGCTTTTAATTCAAGCACTCTGGAGACAGAGGCAGGTAGTTAGTTCTCTGTGAGTTGGTGAGTTGGAGGCCAACCTGGTCTACAGAGTGAGTTCCAGGACAGTCTCCAAAACAATACAGAGAAACCCTGTCTAGAAAAACCAAAAATAAAAATAAAAATTTTAAAAAAATAGTGAGAATGAGATCAGCCTGGGCTACATGAGACTGTTTCAAAAAAAAAAAAAAAAGAAGAAGAAGAAGAAGAAAGGAAGGCAGGCAGTGGGGAGGGAAGAAGGGAAAGTCCTCTTTCTGAATTTGTTTTCTGCCAAGTTCTCTGTTCTTTAGAGAAAAGAAAAGCAGAAGGCCCAAGTACTTACCATTCCTACAAAGATGTTTCCTGCCACAGCCAGGGTTTCGGCAGCAGTGGTGCCCATGGTGATTTGCAGAAACCAGGCAATCTGCAATAATCCAGACTCCTAAATCATCTATGTTAGCAGAAATCTTGGGTAATGTCCAGTAAAGCCCCTCCCACGACTCCGTTTCCTGGTAAGGAAACTGAGAACTAGGGAAAATCATGTAGCAAAGTGACAGAACAAGTTACAAACATAATAGCCAGAACTCAGGCCCTGGAACTTCTAGATCAAGCCTATCACACCCAATAAGAAAGGGCAGACCAGCCTAGCCTTTAACCGTGTTCTGCCCCAGTCTATCTCAGGATATCAGGATGCTTAAAGGGGTGGGTGCTTTTCCTCATCCGTTCTGACTCCATCTCCTATGTAGGATCATTTTCCCCAAAGAAAATATCAGCATCGCCCACTCCCCTGACAGGTCCAAGCCGAAGGTTCTTTCATGAGCTTACCTTCTGAATCACCCACTGCACAAGGCCCAGGTAGTAGAGAATAGACATCACACATCCAAAGAAAATGATGATTGGCAAGGACTGCAATGAGAAGAGATTATACTGTGTGTGCTATGTGTGCCACAAACAAGCTCTTGTGTGCCTCTAAATTAAGTGCCGGGCATCCCCAGGGCACCTGATATGATGCAGTTTAGGAATAAGCTCAAAATGTACTTCAAACCTGTCAGTCTATCAGTACTGAACCATGGGATATTTCCTGAGCCTCTCCCCCTTCAATCAATTCCATGACGGTAAGGATCATGGAGGAAAAGTGGACTACTTTCTAGGGTCAAGTTGGTAAAGATTATCTGACCTCTTGAACACACCCATCACTCTCTGCTTTATCCTCCTACCCTTTCACTGTCATTGTCATCCCTGCCCACAAAATAGGAATTACCTGAAAAGCAAAAACACTTTGGACCAGTGTATCACCAAAAACAAAACTGGAGCCTTCCACCGTATAAGCCAGGAAAATCTGAAGTGGGAGGAATAAGGGATGAGAGTTAGAGCAGGCAGGACACAGAGGAAGATGTGCTCGGCCTCAGGTCCGATGTGCAGGCCATGTCCCAAGAGTTGGTCATAAAGTGACAGACTCAGCAAATCAGTTCTCTTCATTTGTATTCCCCGTGGTCCCATTACTTTCTCTCTTTACCCAACCAGATTCCCCAATACCACCATGAAGGCATAGTGCCAAAGCCTCATGCTTCCCTCAAATCTCTATTCTCTGGGGTTCCAGATGATTGAAACTCTGACACCCAATTCCCTGTACCTGGATCTGATCTCCCAACCACTGAAATGCATTAAATCCAGGTTCAGTTCTGATGACCAAAATCCCAAAGACGAACTGAAGGCCCAGGCCCCAAAACACTGTCCTCCAGCACACCTGGAATCCAAAAGAAAATATTCAAGCATGAGTTCCAAACCTTACTTGGCCATTGCCTGGTTCAACCTTATGCTGGGAATGGTGTTAAGTGAGGGTATTAACAGTCAATCTGGCTGTTAGCTAGCTTTATGTCAACCTGACACAAGCTAAAGTCATCTAAGGGGAAGGAGCCTCAACTGTGAAAATGTCTTAATATGATTGGGCTGTAGACAAGTACGTGGGGTATTTTCTTAAACAATGGTTGATGTGGGAGGGCCCAGCCCATTGTGGGTGGTGCCATTCCTGGTCAGGGGGTCATTGGTCCTGTAAGAAAGCAAACTGAGCAAGCCATGAGGAACAAGCCAATAAGCAGCACTCCTCTATGGCCTCTGCATCAGCTCCCGTCTCCAGGTTCCTGCCTTGTTTGAGTTCCTGTCCTGACTTCCTTTGATGATGTACAGTGATGTGGAAGAATAAGCCAAATAAACTCCTTCCTCCCCAAGTTTTGGTCATAGTGTTCTATCACAGAAATAGTACCCTAAGACAATGGCATAGGGAACAGGGAGACTAGCAAGGAAAAATAGGATAACATTGTACAAAGAGACAAGTATGTACATACAGATTTTTAAACTAAGTTTCATGATGCTTACAACACATGCATACAAATAACTTCCACAAATGGCACTTTTGCACAGTGCCACCTGATTCTCTGTCATAGTCTGTTTTCTTTCTTTCCTTATTTATATGTTCTTTTATTTTTCTCTAGTGTTGACTAGGTCCATACATACCACAATAACAACCAACAGGCCTAAGGTCTCTAAAAGCTTCCTAACGTCTCTTAGAAATAAGACTGTGAGAGAAAAACTCCAGGAATTTTACTTAATTTTATGTCTCTATCAAGACACATACATTTTGCAATTTCAACTTAGCCCTTTCTGTGTGTTACTAGACCCAACATAAATACCCCAAACTCACCGCACTATGGTGTTTGGAGAAGACAAAGAGGATGAGGATGAACATACAGATTCCTGCAAAGGAGATCAGTTGCTCTGGCCTTTGAGCTGTGTCGAGAGCCAGCCACAGGATAAGGCCGACCACAGAGGCTCCTGCGAACACCCTAAAGGTGAAATCCAGAGCTAGGTCACCACTCAGTGAACCAGCAACCAAGACCCCTCTGATAGGACTTCACTTTTCTCATATAGTTATATCAATAAAGTTTAACATAATGATTCATCCCTGAAGGTGCTTCTAATGACCAAGCAAAATTCTGAAAACAGAAGGAGAGGATGTGTTGGTCCACGATGGAGGGCTACTCCATTTTTAACCACTCCAAGGGTGAGAATTAAATAAGTCATTTATAGACGCATCATCTTTACATGCACCAAACGCATTTCAACACATAGACTGGAGGCTTGGAACGTAGCTTAGCAGAGTACTTGCCTAAAATGTACAAGACCCTGGGTCCAAAACAAATAAGGAGCCAGTGATGGTAGTGCAAGCCTTAAGAAGTGGAGGCAGGAGGATCAAGATATTAAGGTTGGGATTGGAGAAGTGGCTCAGAAGCTCTTCTAAACACGGTGGTCACCAGGCACACATGTGGTGTACATGCACGCATGCAGACAAAACCCTCGTACACATAAAGTAATATTGAAAAAGAGGTTAAAGTCATCCTCAGCTGCGCAGTTAGTTTGAAGCCAACCTGGCTTACATCACATACCCTTTCTCAAAAACATACAAACAAAATACAGATGGATTTCTTCAATCTAAGTGAAGAGAACTAGAAAGGAGATCACAGGTGAAAACAATACAAAAAGAAACACAGGATCCGCTGAGATGACACCTCGGGTGCAATGCCGCAAAAGAACCCGGGTCTGGACTGAATTAGAGGCTCTCTTCTACACATCCCTTTCTCAGGTCAATAAAATCCGGCTTCCAAAAGTTTATTTAATGAATAAAGTCACTTGGCCTCTTCCCCCGTACTGTCAAATAAATCAGTGATACAAAACATCAATGGTTATATGTTATTTCTCCAAATTGTCATCATTGAACACGTATTTTCTGCGCATTCATTGGAGAACGAGAAAAGACTTTCTAGAAAGTCTGGCCTACAGTCAGTGCACATGAACCTGGCACAGTTAGATCAACTGTAGCTGCTGCAGACTCCAGCTCAGTTATGCTGATGATTAAGCTTGCTCCCAGACTCTAAGACAATGGTTCTCAACCTGTGGGTCACAACCCCCTTGGGGTTCACATATCAGGTATTTACACTATGATTCATAACACTAGCAAGATTACAGTTACAAAGTAGCAAGGAAACTAATGTTTATGGGTGAGGGTCCCCACAGCATGAAGAACTGTATTAAAGGGCCACAGCATTAGGAAGGCTGAGAACCACTGATCTAGTTTGCAAACACAAAAGCAGGTAGGGGCTCTGGAAGACTAGAGGGGAGGAGAATGAAGAGCAGAGAAGAGAAAGCAACTTGGTTGATAGCATAATGGAAGTGTAAGCATCTGCTCTAACCACTCCATTAACAGAAACGTGGGCTTCCTCACGTGTGTCACAGGCTCTTGGGATTCCAGACTGCAACTCCTTCCTGATCTGGAGTTCCATCTGCACCAGTAATATTGACCCAAGGCTATAAGAAGCCAGGCTGGGCTTTGCAGCTCAAAGGTCCACTGCTACGTGTCCTCTACACTTTGCCTCTGTGTAGGAAAGAGCCCGAATCCCTCTCAGGAACTGTGAAAATGTTAAAATGTTAAATGAGATGGCTATGATGTTCAGTTGGTAGAAGGCTTGCCCAGGATGCACAAGGCCTTGGGTTCAATCCCCGGTGCTCCATAAACTGAGTGCTGTAGTACATGCCTGTAACCCTAGCACTCAAGAGGCAAAGGCAGGAGGATCGGAAATTCAGAGTCATCCTTGACTACATAGAGTTCTGAGACCAACCTGGACTAGAAGCTTTGTCCAATAAAAAGAAAAGAAAAATAAGAGAAAGAAGGAGAAAGGAGGCAAGAGAGAGCCTTCCATCTCATAATTGAGATTATTCATTGACACACTCACAATTAAAAGGATCATTTGGAGATGGCAGGAGCTGTAGGTGGGGCCTAATAGGGGGAAACTGATCACTGGGAGCATGCTCTTGTAGGTTACGACTGTCCCAGGTCCCTTGCCTTCCTCCTCTCTTTGCTCCCCCTTCATGCTTCACCAGTCCCTTCCCACAATGATATGCTGACCCATCACTAGCCAACACTGACGGGGCTAAGAGACATAGGCTAAGCCTCTGAGACAGGGAGCCAAAACGGCCTCTCCTGCACATTGTTCTTAGGTGTTTTGTAAACAGCAACGAAAGTTGATCGGCACACTTACCACTTCACCCAACGCCTCAGGCGCGGATTTTTAAATGGCTTCAGACAGCTTATTAATTTTTTACCAAAGAATTTTTCCAGAAAATGGCAGGCCAGGAAGAAGATTACAAGACAGGTGATGACAAATAATGCCAGTGCCCTCTGGAAGTTCAGGATGCAAGCTGCCAGAAAGTAGGCAGCATAAGCTACAAAGAGAGAGTGAAGAGGCTGTAAGGCTGAGTGTCCATGGAGCATGAGGACATGCCTCTCTGCTCCCAGAGAAGTGTTGTCCCCTTCTGTTTCAGCTGCTGTCTTCACTCTGTCCTTTAGATGTGGTCAACATCCACTGTTAGGCTCTTTGGAAATTGGACATCTCTTTTTTTTTTTTTTTTGGTTTTTCGAGACATGGTTTCTCTGTGTAGCTTTGGAACCTGTCCTGGCACTCACTCTGTAGACCAGGCTGGCCTCGAACTCACAGAGATCCACCTGCCTCTGCCTCACGAGTGCTGGTATTAAAGGCATGAGCCACCAATGCCCAACTTGGACATCTCTTCTTGAATTGTTTTTTTCACCTCAGCTATGTTGAAATGACAAATGATTAACCTTTTCTCTTGAGCAACGTGATATAAAAGAAGCTGCCACAAGGAGGGAAAGCTATGTGGTGCTTTTCTCAATGCTCCCAGATTCGCCCCAAGGATCACTTTTGGTCTCACTATCCCAGCTGCATCTAATCAAAGCCCCACATGTCATTGACAACATACTATAAACAAGGTTTCCTGACTTTCAAAAATAATGCACAGCACTGATCTTAATTATAAACCAATAGATAAGCTATGTATGACAGGTGTTTTTCCTAAAGTCTACAGAGCTGTGTCCTGAATCAAACCTAAGCAATAAAAAAGAGACTATATATATATAAAACCTAAATAGTACAGTTTTGAGTGTAACTCTTCTCTGCTCTACTTACCCTTCTGTGTATGAGGCAATAAATTATGGCTTGTGTTTCCCCTTTCCATGAATTCCCATGATCTCACCTGCACACAAGAGACCAAGCAGAATCTTCTTGAACAAAACAGCATGTCTTTTGAAGAAACTTCTTGCCTTGATGAAAGGATGTAGGCTCCTCCTGATGAAAAACCAAAATTCAAACATGAGAATTGCTTCATCCTGTCTGTGCAACTCTTAAACCTTGGACAGCCCAAGGCAGAGTTTGTTCTCAGTCAGTGAAGAAAATTACTCAGCTGGTGGGTGTTCGATAGTGTTCCGGCAAGGCCCCAAAGGCCAGTTCAAACCTTGTGTCTGGGCATCAGATCAGAATGGCCCTACTCAACCTAGAGTAGTTACATCTTTGATAATTTCCTACCACAGAAGTGAACACTAATCGTGCCAGGGATTTACTCCTAAGGACAGGTGATGTCCAGTTTCCATATTCAGTCTGTCCTTCTTAGACACAATTCTATCAAACCACACACAGCCTTTAGTAGCTGTGCTACGTTGGCAGGTAGGAGAGAAAACAAACCAGTATCAAGAGTCTCTATGTTAACAGATCTGAGGGAAGATGCCCAGCAAGAACTATTCAAGACTGCTTTGTATAGTGTTTTCCATGTGGTTGGGCTCAAAGAACTTTGCAAATAATAACAGGGTTCCTCTAAGAACCTTAGAGGTTGTTACTGCAAGCTAAAAGCCAAGGAAGCTGAGTAAATTTCCTGAGGTCGAGAGGTCGTAAGGAGTAGATCTGGAAGCTGAGTAGCCTGGCTTTCGAATCTAAGTTCTCCATCATCATGTCAGGCTACCTTACCTGACCCCAGGATCACCTCCCTCTGCAGGCAAGTGAGCAAAAAAGATTCCACTTTCAACAGAGAAAATGTGCCCAGCTAGAAGTGTCCTTGTGACTATGGTGCTTGGTCAGGGATGGGACCAGCCACTAACTAAATGGGCTGGGGATTTGGTCCACACAGTTTTTGGTCCCTTCTCTATTGCTGCCTCTCTCATCTAACTTGAGATTGAGCTGCCTGTCATACCCCTGTATCCTTTCTTCTTCATGCCTACCTCTACCCCGCATCTTCTGCAGGGAGGCCAACCCTGGCTTATCTGAGAAGGGTGTAATTCTCAGATATAGGGAAGTCAAAGAGGGAGGAAACTATCCTCATCACCCTTGGATTGTCTAAGCCCATCACCTCAGGAGGATGTGTGGGATCTCAAGACCTCCGCCTCCATCCATTAATGGAGAAAGTAGTGACCCAGAAAGTCTGTTTACAGTGTCAGTAGCTGAAGGTGTCATTGCCTTTGGAATATCATTCACAAGGTACATCAAGCAATGCACTTCATTTTAATTCTAGACTTCCCATGCGTGCCAGGTCTTCGGTTTGCTGCTTGGGGCCTGGAAGTTCAGTCTGTGAAGACTATACCACCGGACCACAAACCCTTTGACTTATCTGCTGGGGTTCTTGCCAATGGGACCTCACAGGAAATCTCAGTGCAGAACAGCTGAAGTCCGCACATAAGCAGAGAGGGATTCTGATCTGACTATCCTACCAGGTTCTCTGGCACCATAGCCCTTCCTGTCAAGGAATAGATTGTATTCACTCTTTCAAACCCTAGGTCTCATACCGTCCTTCCCCATGGTTCTGCTCTACTTCATACCATTTTCAAACATCTGTCTTCCTTTTGTTTGTTTGTTGTTATGTGTGCATTTGAGGAGGTGGGGCTTGTGCGTGCAGAGGCCAGAAGAGGACATCAGATCTCATGGAGCTGGAGTCACAGGCAGTTGTGAGTCCTAGATGTGGGGCTGAACTAGGAACTGAACTTGGGTTCTCTGAAAGAGCAGTACAAGCTCTTAACCACTGAGCCATCTCTCCAGCCACTCTTTTGGTTTTGTTTTCTTTAATTTTTAAAGTTAGTATTGGACTTCATTATGGTATTTTCATGCATATGTGTCTTTATACTTTGTTCATAATGGCCTCTTTATGAGTAAACTCTCTTCTGGTTATTCTTGTTTAAATATGCCACCTGTTTTCTAAATAAGGAGAAGCTGGTTTGAAAGTACGCGCAATTAAACAACATTCAAGCAAAGCCACTACAAAATAGGAAGGTCCATATGCTAGTCAAAGAGTAGACAGAAATTACAGGTTTAGTAGTTCTGCTATCACCTCTTCACCACAAACCCACCATTTCCTGGGGACTAAAGTACTTCAGAAATTACTTTAAAATACTTGCAAAACCCATGACAATGGAATCCTAGAACAACGGGTTAGAACTGAGCCTTTGGGGCCAGAGGCAGGTGAATCTCTGTGAGTTTGAGGCCATCCTGGTCTACAGAGTGAGTTCCAGGACAGCCAGGACTACACAGAGAAACCCTGTCTCAGAAACAAAACAATGATGATGGGCTGGCCCAGCATCCTACTAACAGTACCAAGCTCTTTACACTAAATAGTGGTACAGTCTGAGCATTAGTATCTGTGCTATAACTAGAAATTGTATTGAGATGTTTACCTGCTAAGTGAGTGAATATTGATGCTTTCTCTGCCTCCAAGTGTTTGTAGGGGAGGCTTTCTGGGTATTGACAAAAGACAACGTTCTCACGCGCTTACTACCTGCATCCCCAACTGATAGGTGGAAAGGAAGTAAAGAGAGCATAGTCAGATGTACCAGCTAAACATGACTTTAGTCATCACCAGATCAAGCAGTAAAGATGTTCGTGAATTTTCTCAGTAAACCTACTTGCAAGATAATAGACTCTCCTAACTGAGAGAGAGCCTTGGTGACTGCTAAAACCTGGAGCTCTTCATTTAGCCATTAATGTGGAAAGCTTGAGTAAGTCCAGCTCCAGTGACGGCAGACAGTGTGGCCCTGCCTGAGTCTCTGCTACTCCAGCTTGAAGGAGGAAATAAAAGACGGAATGAAGGAGTCAAGTTGGAATCAACTGATGGTGTGAGCAAAAGTTGAGGCTCGCCTAGCACAGGGGGCCAGAGTCTTTCAAAACGTCAAAGGTCTTGTTTTACACCCAGTTAAATACCAGCTGGACAAAGCTACTACAAAAATAAGATAGCAGAAATAAGTCACAGGCAAGAGATTTTGTCCTTGCCTTCCTAACCACAAACTCATCATCTGAAGTACAACTTTTCCATAGTCAAAGTTATGTACACAACTGGTTCTTAACTTAAGAGCTGGATGATACTGTTGCACAGGAAACTGTCTCCCAAACAAAAAGATGTTAATAACCCATGGGGAAAGCCAAGTAGGGACTGGAAAGTCAAGGGAAAACCTAACAGGGAAGGGCAGCATGAGGCTATCCTGAACAACAGAAAAAGAATGCTCCATAGATAGACAGACATAAAGAACCTACGCAGTAGGTTGTCCAACCTACCCTCAGCTTCTTCCTTCCAGAACTCTTCTCTCTCCGAGATGGAGGTAGCATTTGTTCTGATAGGCAGTGGAGTCTTCCCAGGGAAGCTGTTCTGTCTCCTGACTATGCCCCATGCCAATTTCAGGCTGGGTCCTTGTATATATTTCTTTTGCAAGCAAAAGAGTAGGTGCTATTTGAATAATTAAGAAACAAGGGAATGAAGTTAAAAGTCCCACATCTACCACATAGATGATGAGCAAATCATGTTTAGAAGTAGAGGCGTGTAAGCCAGAGCGGGGAGCATGAAGCTCCACTAGAATTTACAGACTTCAAGGTCTTGACGGTCTTCACATCTGTTACATGTGATGACTGAGGCAACAGATCATGGCAAACTAGCATGCTTCTCTTCTCGGTGTCTTGCTCAGCAGCATCCCTTTGGTAATTTCATATCAGTCGTGGAGTATTTACACTATATGCCAATGCTACAGATCTAAGCTTGCGGTATTAGCTCTTCTACATTCAAGGTTGTCAACTGCAGTGGTGGATGGGCTAAGTGTGTAAATGTTACATATTTTTAAATAAGTATTATTTATTAGAAATACATCCATGCCCCATTTACTTATTGCTATCTGTGGCTTCTTTCTCACTAAAGTGGTAGAGTTGAGTAAATGCATCAGAGACTACACAGCCTACAAACTAAACTGTTTACTACTTTGTCCTTCACACAAAAGCAATCCAACTGCTAATCTTACTTGGTAGGTTAGAAAAAATATCTATAACATCCAAGTCTAAACTGTGCTCAAAGAGAAAAGTATTTTTTCAGAAAGAGGCTCTTACTATACTTCCCAAACTATTCCCATACTCATTACGACCAGAACTCAACCTCCTGCCTCAGCTTCTGAAGTAATGGATTAACAGACATGAACCACTATACCAGCAAGCGATTCCACTCTTATGCATTTAACAGCCTGCACACAATCCCAGCCCTCAAGAGGCTGAGGTAAGAGAACAGTTGTAAAATCAGTGCTACCCTAGCTTATCAAGTGAGTACCAGGGCAGCTGTGACTACATAGTAATATTCTAACAAAACAAAAAGAAGAAAAGACTCAAAACCAAACAAGAAAAAAACAAACCAAACAAAAGAAACCAGTACATTGCTTCCTGGAGTTCAGATATAATTCTAAACAGAATTAACACTGTTGACTGCTAAACTGCTAACCAAAATATGAAATATTGTGATTACAAAAAATATACAGTTGATTGTTCAAATGGTAGATAGGTAGTGTTAAAAAAAATAAGTAGAGGATTGGAGAGATGACGCATCAGTTAAGAGCACTAGTCACTTTTCTAGAGGATACAGATTTGGATCCTAATACCCACAGGTGCAAAGAGTATAGTGTCCTCTTCTGGCTGCCTTTGGCACTGCACACATGTGATGGACATACATACTCACAGGCAAAAACACTTAGCACTTATAAACATAAAATAAAAACAAAGCTTTTTAGAAGTAGAAAAACAGTTGGATGTGGTGGCATATACCTTTAATCTCAGTACTCAAGGTGCAGAGGCAAGCAGGTCAATGAGTTCAAAGCCAGCCTTCTCTTCAGAGTGAGTTTCAGGACAGTAAAGGCTACACACACACACACACACACACACACACACACACACACACACACACACACACACTAAAAAAACCCTTTCTCAAAAAGCCAAAAAAAGTAGAAAAACAAAAATACATTGAGATATAAAGTATGCATCAACTGACAGAGATATTTTATATAAAAGTCTGTAGCTAACCAGGCAGGGTGTGATGGTGCAGGTCTATATTTCTAGCACTTCAGAGTTAGAAACAAGGACTAGCAGGTCAATGCCAGCCTTAGCTTCATGGTGACTGTGAGCAGAATCTGAGTTACAAGAAACTCAGTTTCAAAAATGAATAAATAAATAAACATAAAATGAATTGTGGAGATTGTAGAACATAAGTCAATTGAAAGGTGAAGATGTTACTGAGATATTTAATTTCTAGGAAAAAAAAACAAGCAAAAATAACCTTTTATCCTAGAGCGTCTTCGGATCATAGCCTCACACACCCCTCACCACCCGTCCAGTACTCTGCTGTCTGCATGCTTAGCAATCCCTGGCCTTTCACACCACAGAACACATTCCAGCTGAGCAAGTTTACCCAAATTGTCTTTTGACATCAGCTCTGACAGCAGGTCCATGTTCAAATTCAAATAGTTTTGGTCACTCCTCCCTCCTCAACTTGAGCACACAGCACTGCGGAATGTAGCTTCCCTCATCAGACCCTTCCCTTAACTCCCGAGTCATCATCTCTTCTTAGCCTCCATAGAAAGTCCTTTTGTCTCCTATGTTTCCTTTTTCCTACTCCTAACCCTGAGCATTCCAGAAAAACTCTTTGGTCATGGTGGACGTGGGGTTTGTTTGTTACACTATGTAGCCTTGGCTGGTCTAGAACTTGCTATGTGGACCAGGTGGCCTCACACTCATAGAGATCAGTCCACCACCTCTGCCATCCCAAGTGCTGGGATTAGAGGCATGCACCACAAAGCTTGGCCTCCAAGAGATTTGTTTTGTTTTGTTTTAATTGATATACGTATGTTCATTCCTAAGTCTCAGTGCTCTAATTTAAACCAAAGTATTAAAATTAGTACTTGCCTGTTATAAAAATTAAATTAATTACACATAATAGTACTCGATAAATGTTAGCCATTGTTAATTTTATTATTGCAGCTGCTATTTTTTTAATGTCCGATAGGCTGACACTGATAGGCTTGTCATCGTCATTGGGCTGACCCTTCAGTTAATTCTACAAAATTCTACGTGCATGTGGGACCGCGGTCCCGTTAGTCCGTGAGTTAAGCAGTCCAAGAATGATTAGCTTTGATCTCTTTCACTCACTTCTCTTCCCCACCCCACCCCCAATTCTAAGTTGGACTCTGGAACATCCTTACCTCCAGCCATCCTTCGGGCTGTGTTCCTGAGTCACTTCTGCTTTTTTGCTACGCTCAGGATCTCCTCTTTCCTGTAAACACAGGTAAAGGTGAGCTGGGCCAGGCAGCCCTGAGAAAGCAGCTGAAGCCCCACCTCAACCCACAATACTGCATTACCATGAGTTCCAGCCCTGGGTTCTCAATGCCGTTCTTCATTGTGGCCTGGGAAGCAGACCCTCTTCCCGCTTCTTTCTCCATTGCCCGTTATCCTCAGCTGGAAAACAAACTCAACGCTAAGGCTGGCAGATTTCTCCTTCTGTCTTGGGGGACGAGGGAGGATTTTTAAGGCCAGATCCTCTCAGAAAACACAAGATGAAACTTCTCTAAAGAGTCAGCTGCTTCTATTAAAATTAAGGACTGGAAAGGTTAGGAGCAGATTAATGTAATAAATAATGAAAGGTAGAATTTGATTTCTTGTTGCAAATGGCTATGGAAGAAGGGGCAATATGACAGGTGAGAAATTAAGGGCATGAAATGAATTGGTGGGCCTTCCAGGGCCCCAGAACCTGGGTTGAAATATAACCTTCTCAAATCAAAGGTCATCTAGCAATTTTTCTTTATCTTTTTTCCTGGAAAGAGAGGGAAGATGACACCTGAGAAAGTTCCAGGGGCCAAGGCTTTCTGGGAAAAGAAGAGAGAAAAAAAGACTGCATTCCCTAGGATTCTCTAAGGAACAGAACTGACAGAATGCATATGTAGAAAAGAGGGTTTTCTAGAATGACTTACAGTGTGCTGGGTGGGTCCTCACAGTCCAGTCTGGCAACAGGCTGCTCAGGCTACAAAGTCAGATACCTCAGCAGTTCCAAGTCTGGTGCCTGGAAGATTCCTGAAGAGCTAAATGTTTTCGGTCCACGTGGGATCCTGGAGAAGCTGGATGTCAGTGGAGAAGGACAGCAGTAATAGAGATGAATGCTTTCACCGGCAGGCGAGCCAACCACACTTTCCTTGTCAGACTTCCTTCTATTTAGGAGGTTACCACAGGAAAGGGCCACCCACTCTAGGGGAGGGACTTCTTGGAAGTGTGTTTCTTAGTTGGGTCAATCAAACCATCCCTTTTGCCATGATTAATTTTCAAGGAGGACAATGACAAGGTCATAATTCTGCCTGCCTAACATTAGTTATCACCACTGAAAACATTCTTCCCTCAGAATAAATGGCAAGGCCCCTTGAGGAATGCATGGTCTTTTAGTAGCCTATAGCTTAACTAGGACGACAAATTTAAGAACTCTTAATTACTGGTATTATCTCAGTCATTACATTACAAGGTAAAGGAACAAAAAAGGAAAGAAAGCACAAGTATTTGCTCAATATATGAGTCTATATATTCAAGCATATTCTTAACAAAAGTAGGACAGAAACAAACACTCAGGACAGTAACAGCCCTCATCTCTGTAGCAGGTCTTGTGGCCCTACCTGGAGTTTATAACTCTTCCACAACATAGTCCATAGTCCCTCTACCTTCAGCAAGCACCTCAGCCAGTCTTGGTTCTTCGCCTGGGTCCTGTATCTTCCTGCCTGGATTGAGTTGTTGTAGTTTCCCATTGACTTTAATCGCAAGGTATTTCTCTTACATTTGATATGTTCTGCCTTATCTCCATTGTAGAGAAACAATCAATGTCCCTTTGGTCTGGGTCAGTCACCCCTCCTAACTCTATTGTTCCTACTTTCAGTCTGTTGGCTGAAGTGCATCAGGAGCCCAACGTGGCTAGAGAGAAATCTTAGCTTCCAGCTCAGAGGGTTCCCTCCTGTGCCTCCTGTATGAAGTGCTCCCCCTTCTGGAACCAAGACTCCCAGGAGAGCAGAGCATAAGTTTGTGGCAACAAGAAGCAGAAGTCTGGCTGGTGGCTCACTGGGGATGAGGTACCATTTCCATTTCCACGTCTGCTTCCTGGACCCGTGAATCCTGAGTAATGAAGTGAACTTATTTAGCCTGCTGCAGAACCTCAGCGTTCCAGGCTGCCGCTGCCCAGCTGGCTATCCAACTGCATCTTCTCTGGGGGGAACTGGGAGTAAGTTCTTATTAGCCTATATTAATTACATATAATGATGAAATTCATTATGATATTTTCACACATGCACATAATGTATTTTGATCCTCTTCAGCCCCCTTATCCTCTCCTGCCCCCCTCCACTCCCACTAATGCTCTTTTTCTTCCAAACTAGCCCTCTTTTACTTCTGTGTGCAATGTCTCTTTTTTGTGACACAGGGAATTTCTTTAGGGATTCTCTAAAGGATTATGGGCACCTTACCAGTGGCTATACTTGAAGAAAAAGTGATTCCTTTCCCTACCAACGACTAACTGCTGTGAATAAAGGCTCGGGAAGAGGTGAGACTCCCCAAGTCTCTCTCCTTCCCAAGAGTGTTGACAGTACTGCCTATCTTATATAAGTAATCCTAGCTGCTGTGAGTCTGAGAGTGTTTGATATGTCTGTTGAGTCATATCATACCCATAAGTCATCAGTCCACGTCATCTCTGCCTCCCTTCCTCCAGCTCTTAGGTTGTTTTTCCACTCTCTTCTCTGTGATAGCCACTGAGTCTTGTCAACATGGCTACATAAATGTTTCATTTATTGCTGGACAATCAGCGATCGCTTATTAGAAGTACTTTGACCAGTTGTATTTCTTTAGTCACCACTGACCACTGCCGAAAGAAATTTCACTGACCAAAACCAGAAACTACTATCCTGTGGACATAAACAGTTCTCTAGAGCTGCCCATGTTTAGAACTGCAATTTGATGGGGACACCATGTCCATTAAGCAGCAGGACTTCCCCATTGGGAAACACAACTTCCCTAACCACAGGCTTTTGACTATGGATTCTTTCCTGTTGGTTAATAGCTGTTGGCTATCCCCCACCGCTATTGTACTAATGGGTTTTTCTTATCTGACCATTCAATGTTGTTACACACAGTGGCCACAGTTAAGTAAGACTGTTGACAACAATTCTCCCCTCAGCAGCCTACATAACACCTTTCAGCACTATGAGAGACAACCAGCAAGGAAGAAATTTCCTGCCACACTCTAGCTTGACTGTCTGTGTCTTGTGGTCAAGGAATGGGGCATCTTCAGCAATCTGGTCTTACTGTCCAGTACAGATGAGCAAACAATAGCCATAGCATTCTTTGCCCCCCTCCCATGGGATTCGCTGAGAAACGACCCATAGGGTGGTACCTCATCTCTGACACAGGTGTTTCTTAAATAATCCATGGCTCCTGGGATCAGCATGTTCTACCTACACAAGTTACCTCCACTCAAACTATTAATTTTGTTTTTATTAGCTTATCATGGTTTTTTTGTGGTGTTTTCAAGCATCCTTATTTTTGGCTGATTCCTTTCCCCTGTGTCCTGCCACACCCCCTTACACCTCTTCACTCCCAGCATTCCCCTTTCCATTTTCACATGACGTGCATTCTACTTCCACCAAAGATGCCTTTTCTCCCTTTGCATGGAACTGGTTCCTGGGATCTCCACAGCTACTCCCACCTAAATGCACACACATAAAGCTGAGACAATAAGAGCCAGCTGTGAGAGAAAACTGGGGTTCAGTTACATCAATATAACATTTTCTAGTCCTAACCACGTTCCTGCGTTGTAACAGTGGTTTTAAAAAGCCATTCTACCATTTATTCAAGCCAGCTCAAGGTGGTGGAGACCATGACCGTTTGAACGACAAATGTCCCTCATAGGCTTGTGTATCTGAACAGTGGGCAACAGTTGGTGGTGCTGTTGGGGGCGTTATACAGTGTTTAGGAGGCACAGCCTTACTGAAGTAAGCACTTCACTAGGGGTGGTATTTGGGGGCTTAAAAACACACCCAACTTCCTGTTCTCTCTCTCTCTCTCTCTCTCTCTCTCTCTCTCTGTCTGTCTCTGCTTCCTGTGTGTGATTGAGATATGAGCTCCTAGCCTCCTGCTGCTACGCCTGTCTATTGTCACCCTCTGGAATCATAAGTCAAGATAAACTTTCTTTCTTAAGTTACTTTTGGTCATGATATTTTATCATCCCACTAGAAATGTAACTAACATAACTACTGTCACATTTCTTTATTTATGAAGTGAGTTCTTTGTTCAGAAACAATGTGTGGAATACCGAAGCATTGTGTAAGTCCAAAAATGGTAGTTTTATCTGAATTACCTGCAGGAAAGGCAAATCCATAACCAGAATAAGTATCTCTTATGGCAAGAATAAATCACTGCCACTTTTTCTATAGAAATAGACAGATGTAGTCCAGCTGCTTTCTAGCAGCTAATGCTGTAGAATGGTGCAATATAAGGGACACAGCATTGTCCCAACCCTCAGGACATTCAACATGAGTCTGGTGGACACCTAGGAGAAAGATGGAGGACAGGGGATACAGGAATGGATGCCAAGACAGGATTCTGATCAAGGCGACAACTTTATTTCATCCCAAAGGAATTTATATAGAAGTGAGGAGGGGAAGGGGGGAAGGTGTACTTGCAGCTGCAGGGGCAAGAGGTCAGTGGGAGAGGTGGTCTGCTGTGTTGCCTGGCAACCTAATCTACAGGGCAAGAGGTCAAGGGTAGGAACTCCTATGTTGCTTGGTAACCTGACAGCAGGGTCCGATCCTATCTATTACAATTTACTACTGCTCAGGCCTATCTCCTGACGACCTTGTAGTTTTCCAATTAAGCTAATCTTTAACTGACAGGTAAACCGTAGGCTTGTTACTTGGAATTTGCTTTATGTCAGAAGGGGTGGCAGGGTGGTCTTAGTGTCATGTCTTCTCTATGAGTATGTGATACAGCCTAGCTGACTGATGGCTGGAGGTCCCTGACATCTCCTCCTTTCTGGTTAAACAGAAATTAGGTGCAGCCAGAGTATAAGTTACCTAAGAACCACAGTGATGATGGAGCCTGTCTTAGGATCGATCTGAGAGGCTTCACCCCTTACCTGTCATCGGATTACTTTGCCATCCTTCAAAGCTCCTGTCTTGGGGGGGGGGCGTCAGAAGGGAGCCCATCCAGGGTCAGCCATCAATAGTGGTGGTTATTTATTTTGTGGATAAAGGGGCCTTCCAAGGCCCCTGGCTGGGACTTGGGGGGGGGGGAGCATGAGCAGATTATGTGCCCCGGGGGAGTTTGTCTCCTTCTGCTATGTGGAGACTGGGAACATTAGGCAAAGTTCGCCCTCCTCCTTGCCATTATTATCATCAGCCTTCAGATAAGGACCACTCTCCTTCATGGCCAGCCTTTGATAGTGGATCTGGATAGGCCTTGCGACATGATTATCTATTTGCTGTTTAATAAAGTCCATCAGGCACCTAAGGGCCCATGGGCCAAAAGAAATAAGCAATATAAAGCCTAAAAGGGGGGCCCAAAATGTTGGGCAATAAGGTAGATAGTCAGGGAGAAGCAGAAACTCTTTTGTTGCTCCCTCTCTTTTTCTTTTCTCTATACTCTATCTGTTTTTCTTCATACTATCTTTGACTCTCCCTGTTTTGTTAACATAGAAACAGAATTCTTCTTTAAGGGCTGCACAGATTCCTCCTTGTTTGAGAGCACAAGGAATGAAATCCTAGTGCCTGCTCCTGTGGCTCCCAGCCCCAAAAGCACATCTTTTTTTTGTTTTGTTTTTCGAGACAGGATTTCTCTGTGGCTTTGGAGGCTGTCCTGGAACTCACTCTGTAGACCAGGCTGGCCTCGAACTCACAGAGATCCGCCTGCCTCTGCCTCCCAAGTGCTGGGATTAAAGGCGTGCGCCACCAACGCCCGGTGCAAAAGCACATCTTGCTTAGAATAATAGTTAAGGCGGGGAACTAATTTAACTAAAACATAGGGGCAGAATTTAGCAGGTAGTAAGGCCATCCCTGACAGGCCTACCGTTCTCAGGGATCAGATAAGAGGAGGAGTTAGTATACTAGAAGAGAGTGAGGTTGCAGAGGTGAGGATGGGTTGAGGAAATTTGGAAACTGGGCAGGGGAAGGGGCTGTGCAGTCAGGAACACTGGTTCAGCATGTTCCACTGGAGCTGGTTTGGACAGCTTTCCATGGTTTCAGGTCAGGTTTTTTCTTCGCTCCATGCATCCCACCAAGTTTTTGGCAGCCACAAAGCTTTTTTTCTTTTCCTGTAAGAAAGCACAAACATTCCCTCCACCCCAAATTGGGTCTTTTCCACTGTCTAGTGTATGGATGTTTTATCTGACCAGAGCAAAGTCACTTGAGTTCCATCATACCAGAATCTGTCTGTAGCAGATTGTTTTACTGGCATCCACCTTTTCAAATTTTGAAATGAAGAATGCATGAATTAATACATCATGTTGAGACAAAGGTGATTTATAGTCATTTTTGTAGGCAGCATGTGACTAAGGTTCATTGTGGAGTATGTCTGGATAGCTACTCCCATGCCTGCGGAGCCAGTGGCTAAGGCCCCATACTCCAAGTCCCACTAACAGGGGGATGCATTAGATGGCTCTCTTATGTCTAGGAATAAGATAATCTATGGTCTCACTTCCTGGAATAAACTCCACATCTGGGAGAAGTGTAGCTAATACACATAACCCTGTCCAATTTGTAGGCAACATGGAATAAGCCATTTCATTTTCACATGTAAAAACTTACCAGGTAGGGATTAGTGACATTGCTATTACTCCCCCTTTTTAGTTTTTAGAGTTGCGTTTTTAAGGAGCTATGAGCATGCTCTACAATTCCTTGAGGATTGTAAGGAATACCTGTTGTAATTAATTTTCTATTGAGTACAAAACAGCTGAATGTCTTATTAGAATATCCAGACCTATTGTCTGTTCATTATCACTTTTGGAACTCCCATGTAAGTAAGACATTTTAAACAGTGACTTATATGCTTGATAACTTTTTCAGTTTGTATGGTGGCCATAAAAAAACCTGAATACCATGTGTACATATTATAACTTGTCAAATTCTGTAACATAAATGTATAAATTTATTGCCATAAATGATTAGGAAGTAGGCCTCTAGGGCTCACTCTGAAATTAGTTACAGAAAAATATTGTGGACACATCTCATTGTTTGACAATTTTGATAAGCAGTCTCTCTGGTTAAACCAAATTGCTTTCCTTGACTTTTGTTATTTTGATGATGAAAATTAATGAGACTGAAGAGCTCTCTCCACCAGAATCAAAGCGACCAACTATGTTAGTTTGTTTGTTGACTCATTTCCCTTAGCCAGTGGGCTGGGAAGGTTTGAATGAGCTCTTATATTACCTACAAAACATGGCAATTGCATTTTGAATTTGTTTAAATAATATTTAAACCTGATCATTGTTAGTTTTAATGTACTGAACCATCTTTATTATCTGAGGAGCTTTAAAAACATAATGATTGTCACTATACACTTAAGTGAATTATTTAC